GAAGGGTGGAGGGCGTGAAGGGAGGGCTAGGAATGGGGAAAAAATAAGAACCAAGATGCATTATGTAAGGGTACAATTCCCAGTGAGAAATGTAATTGTGTTGTATACCTACAATGTACCAATAAAAGAATTTAATGAAAAAAAAAAAGTTTTCAACTGTGATGGAACTAGGGTTTTCTGGAAGAAAATGCCCTGGAGAACATACATTAACCAGAAGAGAAGAAAATGCCAGGTCAAAAGTCTATGAATGATAGGCTAAACTTAATGCTATGTGCAAATGCGAGCGGTGACCTCAAGATAAAGTTTCTCTGGGTTAATCATCTGAGATCCCTAGAGTGTTCAGAAAACATAAAGTCATGAAGAATAGCCTAGGGGTCATGTGGAGATCTAACGCAAAAGCCTGGGTAACAAGAGTACCTTTTCTTGAGTGGATGAGGGACGTTTTTTGTCCTACTGTTAAGAAATATCTCAAGGACAAAGGTTTATCACTCAAAGGTCTCATTATGGACAATGCTCCTGCTCACCTACAAGATTTGGAAGAACTGGCGGAAAAATGTCCATGGCTCTCAGTCAAATTCCTCCTAATTCCTCTACTGCAACCTATGGACCAGCAGGTTAGGGCTAACTTTAAGAAGCTGTACACCACAGAACAGGTGGTCTCAGATACAGATTTAACCCTCAAAGAGTTCTAAAAGGAACATCACAACATCCTTTCCTGTGTGGGGTTGAGAAATCCTGAGTCAATGTCTCTTTTTAAGGACCCTGAGATCTGCCTGGAAGAAAGTGTGGCCTAAAATTATACAGGAGAGAGACTTTGAAGGCTGTGTAGAGGAGTCTGAGCCTTCAAGTGACCCTGTGGCTGATGACACTGTCACTATAGCAGAGTCCATAGGCTTGCAGGTCGACAGTGGTGATGTTGAAGAACTGGTGGGGGAACATTCAGAGGGACTGTCTACAGAGGAACTTCAGCAACTTCTGGCGGAGCAACAGATAATGGCAGCTGAGGAGCTTTCTGAAGAGAAGGGGGGAGTATCAATAATCAGTGCAGCAATGTTCTTCTTCTGAAATAGAGGAAATCTTGAAAAAAATGGACAAAGCTACAAACATGTGTTGAGAAGACTCACCCAGATAGAGAAAAAGCCAATCGCTGCACTCACTTGCTTTGACAACGTCATGTCACACTATAGAACAGTGTTAAAAGACAGAAACAGACAACCTTAGACCAGCTTTCAGTCCCGAATGGTTGAGACCTAGTAAGCCAAAAGCAGGTCCTACTGAGTTAGACTCTCCAAAGGAGAGAAGGGACACCAGAGGGAGCCAGATTCCTGATGTTCTTATGAAAGGGGTTTCTCTTTCTGAACAATAACCACCTTCCATTTCATCCTCCCTGCCTGCAAGCCAGATGTCAACCTGAATGGTGAGTACACTATTAAATTGTTGTTTCTCGTAAACAAGGCACATTTTATAGTTATAAGAGTGAATATACTTGGAAAATTATTGATGTTTCTGGTAAATTATACACATTATACAACCCTTTTTTATTATGAAATGTTTGGTTAAGGGGTGCATTGGGTGGTTCAGAACGCACTATGGGTATTTCCATTATTTTTTATGGGAAAAATAGTCGACTTACAACCAACTTGAGTTACAACCAGTCCTTGTGAACAAACTGAGTTCATAATTCAGAGGTCCACTGTATTGCACATCTTTTCATTATTAGATCTCTTATGGTGATCTATGAGCAATGATCTTTGATGTTACTAATTATTTCGTGATGCCACAAACTATGCCTAAAACTATAAAATGGAAAACTTAACTGATAAATATATGTGCTCTGTCTGCTCTACCAACTCAGCCTTCCTGTCTTGCTCCTTTCTCCTCAGACCTCCCTATTTCCTGGAACACACCAACACTGAAATGAGGCAAATTAATAACCCTAAACTGACCTTGTAAGTATTCAAGTAAAAAGAAGAGTTGGATAATTAAAGTGTAAGCCCATAGAATAAATAAAGTTGTTAAAAGTGAACATAAAAGAGGGCCTATAAATGATTCAGAAGAAAGATTCAACCAGGGAAGGGAAAAAGAAAAACAGGTTAGCTGGATTCCATGATTCATATGGACAATGAAGACTGAGACAAATTGGTGACAAATCCTAAATCCTTTCAGGAAAAAGCAAGATACAAATATCTGTTGTGCCATTTGTTAATTTTTTTTTTAAAGTATAAATGATATAAATGATAATTCTCTGTTAAGTTAACAGATATATAAACTCAGTTACTCTTGCAGTTAATACTTTGTAATTACTCTGTAAGATGCTATTTTAAACCATGGAACCATGTTTTTATTGTTTTAAAAACAGTTAAGTACTTTAATGATTGAATCCAGACAACTAATTATGAATCTGAATCTTGGTAACTAGTAACTTACCATTGCCATATGGAAATGCACGTGCAGAACGACTATCATAACCAGAGGAATGTCCACTGTTGAAGGGAAAAATGTATTTATGTGTCTGTTGCAAATACATTTTGAATTTTAATCATTTAAATTCAGATGGAAAAACAAGGCAAAATTATAACTTTTTTGTTTGCTAGAGATGGGGGTCTCACTATGTTGTCCAGGACAGCTTCAAACTCCTGGGCTTACATAAACCTCCCACATCACCCTCCCGAGTAGACAGGACTACAGGTGCATACTCCTAAGCTCAGCCAAACCGTACCTTTTATCCAACCACCATTTAATGATAAGCTTTAATTCTATAATTTTATTTTTAAATACAGAAACAGGTTTGTTTAACCTCACAAGTATTAAACCTAACACTTAACTTTAAAGAAAAATATAACTTGCTAGTATTGTTTATCATGAATAATAAACTCAAATCGACTTGGCTTACAGTGAGATAACAGAAACAATGAGGCTAACACAATATTTGAAATTTAAAAATTAATCTTAAAAAACTTGGTTCTAATAGTTATAAACTGGTAATTCAACTGCAATGACATGATCATCATATACTGCTTTTTAACATTTTGAGAAATAAGTGTGCTTAACAAGGACTTGGTAAAACCAAATCCTTGTATATTCTAGCAATTCAAACTGAGTATCATTTCCTTTGAAAACCATATGCATGGTTTGAGGTTAACAAGTTCTCATAATTTCAGTATTTTTTCATAAATACACTATTTATAGAGTATATTTGTCACTTAAGTGGACATAACAGTTAACTTCCATTAATTAGTGATTTCTATCTGCCAAGAATTGTTCTGGTACTTTGTATCATTAGCTATCTTGCTTTTTACAACTTTAACAATCCCTGTGGTATAAAAGGAAACTGAGTCTCAAAGAGGTTATGAGCTTTGCCTAACAGCACTGTGATTAAAATCCTATTCTGTTAAACACAATACTGCCAGCCATGAGGGAAATAATCTTCAGTACAGCATCCTAGCTAACATAAACCATAAGCACAGAATATAAAAAAATACTACAGAATGGATCCAATTCTTCCTTATGAAAGCTGAGATGCAGCAGGGTAGCAAGAAATAAAGCACCTTTTTTTTTTTATTAGGGTCCAATAACAGTTGTTCTATGTAATCCCGAAAGAAACATATATTATGCATGATTTCTAGAAAATTGTTTATAGTCCCACAAAACTGACTCTAGTCGAGTTTTTAACAATCTAGAGGTTTTTTAAATGTGTTACAAGTAAAATCAAGATACTACTTCAAAATATTACAATTTTCTTTGACCTGTTTTGATATAAGACTATAAGTCTAATATGTTCTACAAAAGCAATTAACAGAATAATTTATGAATTAAAGGGCAAATGCTATGTTTATAAAATTAAATCTTTGAAATTATAGCAAGAATGTATATGTTCTTCTGTCAAAGGTCTATCGATTAAAATTTCAGAGTGTCTGTACTGATTTACCTTTCTATTGTTGGTATAAGAGATGGCGGTGGAGCACCTGGTGGAGGAGGAAAACCTGAAACATTCAATCATAAGACAAAAAAATTAACAGAATTTGTATTTAATGTCATAAGTGAAACAAAGTTGCTGTATATCACTATATTTCTCTGAGGACATAAACGTGCTTCTCTTATGTTATAATGGACAGGAAAAAATGGAGCTTACACTCACAGATTTTTGGAGCAATACAAGTTTTAATGAACATTCTGGCCTAACACACGGAGCACAAACAGGGAGTAGTCAGGACACCTGGTCTTATTTTCAGCACCACACACAGCCCATTTTGTGAGTTTGAAAAAGTTAGTCTCAGTGCCTTACCTTTTCCATATAAAAAACAGCAGTTGTATTGTCACCAAATGTTTTACTTGAAATATTTTAGAAGAAAAGCAAAGTAGCATTTACATCTTTTAAAGAATATTTTGGATTTTAGATATATATAAATTTCCTTAAAACATACAATTAATGAATAAAATCTTACCAGTAAATATATAAATGCTCAAAGCTGAGAACATCTGCCATAAAATACATTTTAAATAGCACAAACCCAATGAATGACTTTATAAAGAAAGGCATATATGGAATTCTGTATTAGTTTGAAGAAAAATAAATCTGCACCTTTTTATCATGAGGTCTACATTGTCAATAGTTTGTAATACCTAAATACCATACCACAGATTATGGCTAGCTAACCTACTCTGCACTTTCAAATTCAGATAGGCAATACAGCATTCCAACAAAAGACGTTAAAGATTCCACACCTCACATGATACCAATTCCTTCCAAGTTTTTAACAACCCTCACTATTAGAAAGTGCATTAAATTATATAACTTAAACTCCTCACACTACAATTCATATCCCGTCCTCCACTGCTGTATTCTCTATTACTGGCTACATATTTGAAATCTCTTCCACTAAGCTGCCTTTTTAACATTCTATATAAAACTGAGTCCAAGTTCCCTATATCTCTTCTCAAAGTTACATTTAAATAAATGTTTAAACCTGTTTCAAACTATTTCAAGTTTACCATGCTCTTTACTGTACCCATTTTAGGACCTGTACTCCTCTATTAAACAGCAATACAAGCAGAAAATTTAGCAATTACTACGTTAGTCCTACAGTCCACAATCCTATGTTATACAGCTTCACAACTACATTGCTTTTTAAATTAAAAAAAAAAATACACCAATTCCTTTGACTTTCCCTGGTAAGTATCTTGCAGCCACATTCACACACAATCTGTGACTCTATCCCCATATCTAAATATGTACGCTCTGCTGTGCAATTTGAACTTCACTTTTTCTGTTTATTCAGGTCATTTTGAATTTAGACCCATCCTTCCAAGCATCACCACCTACTTTCTTCACACCCCTTGGCTGTTAATTTGAACTCAGTAAACACACTTGCTAATGCGGTTTCCTATCACACAATAAAAAACAACAACTGACACAAATATAAAACACAAAACCAGGCCACATATAAACTCCTACTACCATGCCATCACAACAACAAACAGTTAATCACAAACTCTTAAGAACAATCATGAGACCACTCATTAATTCATCCAATTGCTGTGTGGCTCAGAACATATTTTCTCATGACATTGAGTTATGCCAGCTGGATCTAAAAAATTAAAAAACTATGCTAAAAATAAAGGTAAATTACTTTTCTCTTATAGTACCTTTTATCATCTAAAAAACTGATAGGTCTGAAAAATTTTTTTATAAAAAAATATTTTACATTCCATTCTATTTTTTCCACAAATCGATATGGTAAGAATTTTCTCATAATCTCTCTTTCCACAGAAATGGGTAAGACAGGTACAAGAGAACTAAGTATCTTAAAACTGAAATGAAGCAAAGGCAGAGCTGAAAATAGGACCTTGAAATCCCAATAGCCTAGTTGATTCTAACCACATCAACACTGACCCTCCTGTAACTATGAGCTTGAAATTTCATGTTCATTAACAATGATGGAAAAAACATGAAAAAAAGTTTTACCTGGAGGTGGTACAGTTATTGGGATACCTAAAAAACAAGTGATGAAATTTAATATAGTAACTGGATTTCAGAACCTGTTATGTATTTATGCCATCACCAAAACAAACTTTGAAATAAAACCCCTTGCCTCATTATCCTGGCTCAGTCACTCAAAAGAGAACCATTCTGTTTTCTTGCAGACCAACAATTCAAATGTACCATCCAACTTCCCTGATGAAAACCCTGTCAACAACTTGATAAAATTTCCCCCACTAGCTGTAATCACAAATGAAGTTAGACATCAGTTAAAAAGCACACTTGTGCATGGACAAATATCAAACTCCGTAACATTAATGTTAACTAAATTTGATAATCAATGCCTGATCTTGTTTTCTTAACATTTTGATAGGGAAACTAATCTGTGGGTTCTTTAGTACTGCAAATAGTACAAGGTAACTGAAGATTATGGAATTATTCACTTTTGTAAAGCCCAATGTGGATTATTGAAATGTTAAAGTTGTTTGACTACTGGTAGCGGGAGTAGGGAAATATTTAATATTTTCCTTAACTTGTAGAAGAAAAGGGTATAGCAAATTCACGTATGCATACCCCCAGGGCACATTAACATAGATGTGGATTATTTATTTCTACAGGTGCCAGAAAATATTAATTTATTTGCACACATTATAAACTTTAAGAAATAAATTATGTATGAACATTGTCAATTTACATTAGCCAAATGTGCCCTTAAATTTATTTACTAGTACTAAAATTAAAGTCTGTATTTTAAATTTAAGAGAAACATGAAAGGCAAATTATGTGACATAAAAATTTTAACTACTTTCGGTTAAATTCAAAGCAACTTTCTCATGAAAAGTTATATACCATAAATATGTTCAACACAGTTGGAGTAGTAAATTCTATCTTTAAAATTGTTATCAAAATTAGTACATAGGAAGGGGAAATTTTAATTAATTCGCTAAATGCATGCAAAAAGCTGGGAACAATCACTTTCAAATGTTTTCTTGACTTGCTAATGCTTTAGTTTAAAATGTTCTGACATGCATGTTCAATCAGAGTAAGAAGTTTATATAAAGACAGCAGATCGCCTTAACACTCAGACACCTGATTTAAGCACCAATGCAATAAAGGATACCCTAACCTTACAAACACAACAAAACTAAAAAATATATTTAAAACAGCCATCGTGTTTAAAAAACCATTAGGATTCCACAAATCTACCCATCTAATCTACAATTATGGCAATTCCCATCCATCCTGAGGTTAACTTGCTGCTTTCCCCACTAAGAGTCCAGCGGACAATACAAGCTATGAGACCCAGATTCCAAGCTAAACAGGGAAATTAAGGAAGGCAGATCATCAAATGTTTTTAATATATACTATTACCTAGTTTTCTTTAGAAAGGTACAGAATTTTTAGAACACTACTGAACTTCACCATTTTGCCTAGGTTTCAAATTTAAATTTGTAGTTTAAATTTCTTTTGCAAGTTAACATTATATCAAAATGGGCCACCCACTCCATGATACTATAATACTGTCTACCTAAATGAAGACATGACCAGCTTATATCACTTTAGCTTATTCTTATTACAGCTTACCAAAAAGTGAAATCATGAAAAAAAAAAAACCTAAGAAATTACTACTCATTTCAAAAATACTTAAGCTGTAAAACTTTGACAAAATAAAGATAAAAGATACATCCAAATTAAATATGCAAGAATAGTAGTTAAAAATTAGTCTGCCTACCATAGTAATAGGACAAATTTCTAAAAATCAACTAGAACTAAGACTACAAACACAACAAAAGAAAAAGGGCATGTATAGATGTCTTTCCAATCATTATCTATACTACAAAAAGCTGGCATGGGAACTAGCAAGGGCTCTTCTTGTGAAATCTCTTATTTCATCTAAGATTTTCAGTGTCAATCATTACAAGACTGTAAAGTTGATAAAGCATTATACAACCAATTTCCTGACAATTATCAAGAACATTTTCAAATTACAACCAAAAAACGTTACAATGTGATACAATGTAAGGCCAACAACACTGGAAAATGAGTAGTAAAAATATCTTTTCCTGGAAAGCCACCCCTAACAGTAGTAAAACTAAGATTTTTAGTGGTAACAAAAATCTTTTGGAAAAGCAGTATTGAAACTCTAACAAGTTGAATACATTATAAACCGAAACTTAAGCTTGCATCAGAACAACCTGGAGAATTTAGGTAAATATTGCTGGTCTGTTTTTTCTTAGATTTTGATTCAGTAGGTTTATGGTGGACCCACAAAGCTTGCATTCCCACAAATTTCCCATGATATAACATGTTGCTGGCTTGGGACCATACTTAGAGACTCACTGGATTAGATTCTAAAATTCTCCCTAATTTCACTACTACAGAACTCTATACAGATGAAAAAAAATTCTTCCCAATTTTTAGCAGATGAAAGCATCTACAAATGACATTGAAGAGTAAAACAGTATGAGAACCTATACTATCTGGCACTCTCAAAAAGAGAGGGAGGGAGAGAAAATTTAATTTTTCCAATATATTAAGGACTATATATGCATACTCTTAAAGGAGAAAGGGGGGTTGGGTGAGGGAAGATTGGAAATTCTACTCAGGGAACTGTGGCAAATTAACAGAAAGTCAGTATTCCTGCTAAATACAGTATTTTAAAATTTTGAAAAAAAATTTGCCTGTATTAGAAATTTCCTGGGGCCAGGGATTTAGCTCAGTGGTTTCACCGCCTGCTGTACAAGCACAAAGGCCCAAGTTCGATCTCCGGTACCAAAAAAAAAAAAGAAATTTCCTTCCATAAAATAAATTAGTGGGCTCTGCAGTCACAAAAGAACTGAACAAAAATTGTCTATAAACTCATTTTTCATGTATCCATCATTAATTTGTGTAACTAAGGCAAAGATCTCTGCATCCTGCTATTTATGCCTTTGTACACCCCTCTATTTATGTCCTCTTCTGAGTACAGGCTGGATATATTTGCTTATAACACAAAACACAGCAAAAATGATGTCACTTACAGGATGAGGTTACAAAAGATAGTTACTTCTATTTTTGCTGGTACCCTTTCTACTGCCATCTCAGCTTGCATGCTTTGATGACATAAACTGCCATGTTGTAGAAGACCACAGCCAGTGGGCCCTCTCAGCCCAACAGCCTAGAAGAAATCAAGTACTTTTTTTTTTTTTGGTACTGGGGATAGAACTCAGGTCCTTGCGCTTGCAAGGCAGGCGGCGGATCCAGTGAGCTAAATCGCTGGCCCGAAACCAAGTACTTGTAACACCAACAACATGATTAAGTTCAGAAATGAATCCTTCCTCAGTCAAACCTTTAGAGATGACTGTGAGGTCTGAGAGAGACTGTGAAGCAGAGAAACCAGTTAAGCTGCTCCTCCTAACCGAGAAAAACTGCTCAGTAATAACTATATATTATGTTAAACTATTACATGCTAGAGTGATTCGTGATGCAGCAACTGAAAACCAATACCTGTAATTACTACTTATCTCTTTTCTATTAAGTTTAAAAAGAAAAAAATGGAAGAATTTTGTGAATTTCTGCTTCCTATTTCTCACTAAATTCCAAATCCCATAAAAACCCTGATTACTTCAAGTCTCAAGATTTCTACTTCAACTTCAAAGACATCAACTTAAAAATTCTGCACAAAAAAATTGAGTATAAAGTCCAGCTTTGTAAAAATTTTTAACACCTTTTACCAGAAATGCTTTCTATCAAATTTTTAAAAATTAGACACAAAAACACATACACACATACATACATCTCACCTGCCACTTACCCTTTTTAGAAAGCACTGAATGTAGAATACTATAAGCCATTTCTTAATGATTAAAGCAACTAATTGCAAAGTACAAAAAAAAGAGAGAAACAACTTCAAAGAAAAAAAAGGTATTAAAAATGCTATGGTTACTAAACTAAAAGCAACCAAAAAGTTATCATAATACATATCTAAAAGGCAAAAAACATAATTTTACATTACTATGAAATGAACAGACTTTAATTTTTTTAAGGATCATTTACTCCTCTAATTTATAAAACCTGCAATCTGCAGAAAAGAAAAATTCTATCTTAAAATATATTTGATAGTTGTATTTTTATAGAGAACATGTATAGTAGTTCTTTACCAGTTGACATATGATCACAAAGTGACTGAAGAACAGGGCATGACAGCAGATATTAAGCTATAATTATGTTCTATAAACAGCATTATCAATGGTGTATTAAAAATATAACTATAACAGTTTGTAATAACTAAATCTTGGAAACAGCCTAAATGCCCATCACCTAGAGACTGGATAAAGAAAATGTGGTTTTTTTAATAAAATGGAGTACTACTCAGCCATAAAAAATGAGAAATTAGACATTTATTGCTAAATGGATGCACACTGAGGCGATACTTTTAAGTGAAAGAAATAGGACACACGTGTAAATACTGAATAGTTTCTCTAGTGTGAGAAACTGAAAGTGTAAATAAGTACTAAAAGGTATAAAAAATACTGTGAAATAGGAAGAAAAGGGGCAAAGGGGAAGGGGAAGTGGGAAGGGTAGGGAAAGGAAAGAAGGGAATGGAATTAATATGAGAAAAATGATAAAAAGGTACCAAAGTCTTTGTAAACAGGGAAGGATGGAAGGGTTGAAGGGAGGGCAGGGGAAGGGGGAAAAAATAAGAACCAAGGGCCGGGGATTTAGCTCAGTGGTTTCACTGCCTGCTGGGCAAGGGCAAGGACCCAAGTTCGATCCCCCATACCAAAAAAAGAAAAAAAAAAGAACCAAGAGAGTATGTAAACGTGCATATTTCCAATGATGAATGTCATTATATTGTACACCTAAAATGTACCAATAAAAGGATTAAAAAAAAAAAAATATATATATATATATATATGGGGAGCATCCATGGGGAAAAGCATTCAAAACAAGGGTCTTAACAAAGCTTTTAAATCCTATGAAATTTGCATTTAAATTAATTTCAATTATGCCAAAAAGCACTATTTATTGCA